AAAATGTTTTTCGGAAATCGTTCCACTTCTACGCATAAAAAATCTTAAGTAACAAAAATTTAGCCATTGTGCGCAAAATGTTTCAACTATTCTACGTGGTTTGTTTCATTTTCCTTCTAAACAAAAGGAAGACGGAACTAATTAATTTAAAGATGTAAAGTTTCCGTTTCCTTATTATTTCAAATTAAAAAAAAAATAGTCAAGTTAACCTAGGTAACAAAATAAATACAAGACATTATCTATTTTATAAAAATGAAGAGGGTTTCTGCATTGAAAACCCAAAACTGATGTAGGTAGAAGTTCTCTCTCACACACACTTCAAAAATCAAATCTTATAATAATTAGGCCGGCGATTTTTTTTGGACGCCATTTAGAAGTATAAAATAATAGTCTTAATGTCTTAACACTTGTTATCTACTATCCCTACTATCCCTTTCATCATATTTATAAAACAAATGTGTTTTGTAATTCATGGTAGTTACTACTTACAAGTAAATATAAGGTTATGTATCTCTATCATTACTGTCGTATGCAACAATCACTCATCCTCAGGTGAATGTCCTCTTGGTCTCTTGTTGAGGTAAAAAAATAACAAGTTTCATGTACCTACACGATCGAATATTTTAACTGTAGAACATTTTATATTATGAATCTTATTTTAATGATAAAATATATTTAAATATACTTTGTTATTTTACTAATGTACAAAAACAATTTAAAATTACGTAACGTGTGGCTTATGTAACGATATAAGTATGAATAAAAGGTTTCTGGAAAAATTTTACTGACTTCAGTCCTTCCAATCTGTTTCATTTAAAATACAAATAGGTCAAACAAACATGTATTTGTGAAACAGTTATTTTATTCTTGTTTTCGGACGAAATTGATATGTGTAGTCACGTAAAATAAAATAACTCTATTTGAAATTTTGTTTGAAGTTAAAACGCGTTGATAATTTGGTAATAGATTATTTATTCTAAATAAATTATTATCTATTGCCAGTGCCGCTAACCAAATCAATGTATGTGAATGTATTTGGTTTTACTATCTGTAAATAAATTACTACTGTGAACTGAATTCCAAATATTCACGTGCTCGCACGTAATTGTAACCTTAGCCTGTATTCAGTATTCACTAGTTACACGTTAACATGTGTAACAGTGGTAGAGCCCGCTATTACATCTTTTACACGAATGGGCCGCCTGGTGCAATACTTCAACCACATAGGAGACACGCGTCAAATGGACTTAATTCTCAGTTTCGTCTGATGAGCGTTCCGTAAACTAATTTTAGATCTTACGTAAAGGAAAAGGTTCTTTCCAAACTTTTTGTATAAGAAAAAGATGGGAAGTGGAATTAGATTGAACGGAGACAGGGACGCATACATAATATATATAGAGAAATAAATATTATGAAAACATTCAGCTGGTACTCGTTTAAGTATCTAGTTGCAGTAGAAAGTTTAATTAACTAATACCATTTTCACATATTAAATCCATAGGTCTAAGCTGTGTCATTCTTTATATTGCGATTATAATTTAATTATAATTTTAACTCAGGATTACCAGTAACAGGCATTAAATACATATCGCGTACAAATTTACATCGCTTCGTTTTCTTTAGATTATAACCTTATCATATACGAGTATAAAAAAAGATAACTTTGGTGGGCAACGAACCATGCAACTGGGAGTGCATGCATTGTGTATTTTGTTATGGCATCGCATTCAACAATTCAATTTGCTATACTGTGACGTAAAGTGATGTATTGATACGAAACTTTTGTATGGGGCCGCTCGTTCCATATTACGAAAAGATAGTACATTCTACTATAGATCATTTATCGTTATTTACTTTTATGTATTTTAGTCCATTAACACTTAATAAAGTTTTTCCTGCTACTTACAAATCCACAATATCCATTATGTATTTGAGAATTCTAGAATGTATTATGTTATCCGTTAATCAATTACTTTTAGATAACAAATAAATACGTTACTAAGTAGGCAATAAAAGGAAAAAAAATCACTCAAGCGTAGTCAAACACAAACTATTTATAAAACTTGAGTAGATTAGGTACTTGTATTTATCATTTACATCTCTTTTTACAGAAAACAACAACAACAACAATTCTTTAATACGTAAATTGTTTTTACAGCGAGAATACGACTTAGCTAATATCAGTCTTTTATTGCTTTCAAGTTAGCGAGAAATTACTAAAACTAATTACTATTAATGTTAATTCTGTTTTCTTAGAAAATTAATAATAAGTAATAAGTAATCAATCTGTTACAAACATATACGATGAATAAAGCAAATAAATCAAATTATTTAAACTTCTTCGTTTCTTCAGTCAAAACGACTAGATTTGTTTTACGAGATCATTAGTAGTCTTTTTAATCGTTTACTGATTTTTTTCATAAGTACTACATTTTTATTGAGATATAAGTCCTAAAAATACCCATGACATAAACTAAAGCCACAAGACACACCATTTGCTAATATTTATACATTCATACCTTACCTCGTTTAGTTATACTTTTTGGTACATAAATAATTTTGAGGAGTAAAACTAAAGTATGTTTAAAAAGTACTTATGAATTCTTTTTATTATAATTATTTCAAAAACAGACTTGGTTAAAATGATTTAATTATAATGAAAACATATAGTTACACCATATCATACTCGCACATGCCAACCGAATGGCGAATCCGCCATTATAATACAAGGCATCGTTTCTACCAGACGCGAACTTACACTCTTCATGCCATAATTTTGAATTTTGAATTTTGAATTCAAAAATTCAAAACTCTCTAGAAAAGTATCGTATAAAAAGAAAACTAATTAAAATTCTATTTTCAAATATGGAACAAAATAGTTAATTCAAAAGAATCGTTCCTATTAAGAGCAACTTTGTATTCGACTCACGAAAATAGTTTTTATAGTTTCCGCTCGAATGTCGTATATGCGTTGAATACCAAGATGTTCTTCATCTATATGACCGTTAACATACGTCGGTTCGCGAGCGGTCAAATTGACGGCAGAAATCCCGATCGATGTTAACCATAAAAATATTAATAAGGAGAGACCGCTCCACCACCAGCAATTACGGAGTGGGTTCTTCTTAATTGGTATTGGAATTGAGAAACTCGTTAGAAGCGATGGTTTTTATTGGAACACGACGTACAGATTTCTATCGGGGCGACCGCGGCCGACTGGTCCTTCGAGCCCGACCAGTTCTACACGGCAGACAGGCCGGCGTTATGTCGGGGCGAGACGGGGGACAATCATTATTTAAACGATACATCTTTCCAGGAAAAACGGGAGATGATTATAATTTTTATGATTGAAGGTTCTTTACAATTTGCCGGCCTACTTCAATTATAACGACATAAAAATTGGGAGACCGAAGATTAAATAATCGTTATGATTTTTTATACGAAAACGTTAAGGATAATGAATGTTTTTACTGTAGTTTATAATATATGAATAATTAACATTTTGTTCACAGACGTAATCAAGACATAGAGGTGTTAACTCTTGCGTATTACATTAATCGAAGCATTCGCGTGTGGTCGGGAATCGAATGTGCGGTCTAATTGCCAATCGCTACAGGAGAGTAGTCCGACAGGCTCGGCTCCCTTTCACCATGATGTAGTAAATCAGGCGGTTATGTTCGCCTTTACGACTTAGTAGGCGGGATAAATCGCGGAATTTCTATCAAATGCCAACGACGCCCTTAGAAGAAAGTGAGAAAAAGGTCTTATAACGTTTGCCAAAGATAAAAATGATCATTGAGCTGCACGCTTGCATCACAGGCAGATGAAATTAAAAAGATGCGAGTCATTAAAAGATGGTTATTTTGCTCTTTTCCTACTTTAAGTGTCGACACAAGATATTTTTGTTTTTATTAATAATGTCACTTTCTCAGCACTAAATACTTTGTCACCCGTGTATCTAAGACTTTTATTCCAGATATCAGTAGTTTTATAAATTGACTCTTACTTACAACATGAAAGCGGTTCAGACCCACGTGGTAAAAATGTTATTACATGCACACGTGGTTAAAATGTACAGACATGGTAGGTACAACTCGTGCCGTTGACAGAGTAGAAAACAAGAAGTCTGGGTATAATGAGAAAATTTTAATTTCAACGTGTTTAAGCGTAACGCATTCATTAATACGCCGTCACGAAACAATACAGAACGTTACGTTTTGTTAGAACAAATGTAGAGGTCAAGATGCGGCGGATTGTTAGTTAATTTATAAATCAAAATCAACTCGACTGTGAAATGAACCCATTAGAGATGGTCCGAGGTCCATTATACTATCGGTCTAGGTTCATTTAATTTACTTAAATAACCTTACCGCAAATTGATCAGCTTCATTCATTGACCTCGTGGTGTTAGAAATTTTACTTTTCTGATTCTTTACAATGATATGAAGAGCAACTAGCTTTTGTTGATTGAGACCGAACTCTACTTTTTATTACGATAATTATTTATATAGATTAAAAATAATTAGTGTAAACATATAAATGTTTTATGAACGTTCACGCTCTAGAAACTGTAATACGAATGTTAACCACAAATAGGATGTGAATATTGCAGTTAACCTTGCGGCGGTGTAACTGCTCCCCGAATTGTTTGTTGTGCACCTTCCGTCTTAATGCATAACAAATATTGTACCGTCCCAAAAAAAATTCGAAAAATAATAAATAAACCCTGCAGGGCACATAACAAATTGTTTTAAAATCGTCATCAAAGGTTTTTTGTGTTTATTATAATTGTAGCGGATATCGAAATATTTATTACTTCTTTGTCTTAACTAGTGATGGTTTCCTGAAATATGCATGAATATCCCATGCAGGTATTAAAACGTGCACGTCGTTATTACGGGAAAATTGATATTATTGTTGTTTTTACTACATATTTGACTATTTAAAATTGTTTGGGGAACAACCAAGAGTTCTTTTCTAGCAAAGAAGATAAATAACGAAATAAATGTAAAATTAACTACATTTACATAACGGACATTCTAAGGAAGGTAAATTTTCAACATGTTATGCTTTCTTATGCTTATGTAGAAAACATTTTAAATGTTTCTTCTCGCTATTAATTACATTATATTTCTTTTCACAAATCATTGTAAGTAATACAAAATTTATTTACATACGAATGGAATATTTCGTTTAATATCTCATCGTATAGAATTCCGAGTACAATGCATTTCTTTGTATCCTTTGAGATAATCGGTTGAATGCAAGGCACGCGGCGCACGTGTATGAGATCGAGAGTGGAGAAACGTGAGGCATGTTAAAACGATGTTTTCTAGCTTCCATGGATATTTAAGAAAAGACATAAGTACAGAAAACATTTCGCATGTCTTGCAGCTGTCAGTTTTTCCGACTCGGAATCATGAATTTGCCTCCAATTATATGGTGTGAGGTGCTCTTACTGTTTTATCATGTTGCTTAGAAATTTGATTGCTTCAAGATTTCTGTTATTTCAAGCGAGTTCAAGAATATTTGTTTTTGTCATTAACTTCGAATTGTTCCTTGTTATTTGATGTTATAATTAAAATTATCTGCGTTCACTAATAGTTTGTAAGATAAGCTTTTTCTGAACGGAATTTAATCGTAAATTAGGAATGCTTTTCTTTGGATTTCACGGATGTAGTTAAGTCTATTTTTTATAAAAAGTAATTAAACTATACTCAGACAGAAGAACATGCTTACAAAATTGTATTATTACAAAATAATGTCTCCGGTGTCGACGGATTGATTTTCCATATCTATAATAAAAGAATGTAGCAAAAAAAGCGAAAAACTTACGTTTTGATAAAAGCAATTTCCATCCGGTCAACATTTTTTAAATTCTTAATAAGCACAACTATCACTAAAATTTAAACTATCAGCAACAATTTTTAATTAAATGAATTTTGAAATATTCAGTCTGAAATTTGTGTCCATTAGATTCACTTAGTGTTTACGAGAGCGCGGTTTTGCGACCGCGCCGATGCCGCAATTTAGTCGTCATGCGCGTAACAAACACAGCCTGCAAATACGCGCCCGCGCAACACCTTCGTACCTATATACCGCTAACTTACCTCCCGACAGGCGCGCACATTGCTACAAGATCACCCAATCAATCAAAACATAATTACCCAAATGTAACACATTATGTAACGTTTCCGGTTTACTTACAATGACATTGCAAAAAATAAATTTAGTAAGTTATCGTCGCCCAGATACCATATTTCAGTTTAAAAGTAACTTATCAGTATGTTTTTATTGTTGACCTGCAATAACACTTTGTATTTTTTTTTAATTACACAAAAGTGGTCACAGTATTTTTTTCCATTTATTTAAGGAATACTCATGTAAGTGTTACATTAAGTATTGAATAAAGATTTGAATTTAGATCGAAATAAGAAAGTAGTGTTGGTACCATTCATTAACATTTATTACACAAGCTTCAACTCCTAGTTTATTTCCTAGTAGTTACTAATTTGATATACTTAACCAAAAACCGAAATTAACTTTACAATACTTGAACTACTTATACCCGTTTATAATTTTACCATAGAATTAAGTTGGTCAACTTAAGCGATCCAAGCATAGTTAATAGCATTAAGCAACAAGTGTTGCACTAATTGCAGTTGTCACAGAAGGCGAGTGAAACCCGGCTATCAGTTCAAGGAACTCGGGCGTAGGAAACTTCCATGGGGACAGATTACGGACCCGCACCCGCGCGACTGTGATACGTAAAAATATATTAAAAACCATTGTCAATTATTGAGGCTTCGTATTTGATAAAACATAACATTAAAATATGACAGCAATAATCCTATAAGTTACAAATACAGAATAACTTAACTGCATCTAAAAATTGCACATTAACTTAAGAAGTAACTTCGATAACGATATAATATTATTCTAGTAACTATAGTGTAAAGATAATTATGTTTATTTGCTGTATTAACATTTGTATTTTGTGAACATATTGAACATCTCGGCAATCAAATAATGACATCTATATTTAGGATACAGTTGCGGAAGTTTTCATTCGCTTTTCTAAATTATGTAGAACTATTAAAAAAGCGACAGTAGAAAGTATTGAAATGTAACCAAAAAAACTTATTTCGTAGTCTTGAAGTAAACAAATAAAAGTGCTGATAAATGGAATTTCCCGCTCATTTTCCAGCTGATGGAATAAAAATGAAGCTATTTTATAATTTAATGGCATTGTCACGTGTTGAGATCCTTTATTTCAGATTAACTTGGTCCGATTTCCGACATACTGAGGCGCGATTAAATACATCTTATTACGCATTGATAGCATTAAAATCTAATCATCAAATTGGCCATTATGTTACGTTTACAAATACTCATTTAATGTTTGTTTAAGACAGTTGTGCTCGAGCGGACAGATATAAGCGGGACGCTACATAGGTTATTTATTTAATGACAGGTGCAGTCGGGATTGTCAGGTCTAAAGACAATATGTTTTTTGGAATTACATTTTTTTGGGAACCACTGATAATTTTAGAAAAATCTTAACTATTATGGTAACTATTTGTGTAAGTGAAGATTAAATACATGTCTAAGAGAATATCCAAACTGTAAGGACTCGATTGAAGTACAATAATAATGAAGTACTGGCATTGGATTACGTAGCGTTAATCTTGTCTTAAACATTAATTTATTTTTGATACTAAAATCTGTTAATTTGTTTAACATTACAACGCTTTTAAAGATCGCATATCTTAACCTAATGTACATATTTACTGACAAATTTAGACTCACACTTATAGGCGTATATCCGTTACGTCTTCTCAGAAAACATGAAATTTATTATGATAACATGTTTTTTAAACTTTGTCCAAAAACATGTTATTTAATGTTAATAGGAAAATTTTTGCCAAAAGTAAATTAGTATTTGAATAATTTAATATTATGTAAAACACAAGTGTTTCTTCTATTTTCAGATATTTAGAGTTAAGCAGCGAGAGCTGATCATTACTTATTTTGATCGTTAACGTCAGAGAAAAACCATTCGTATAACTATTTATTTATCTAATTATTTCCCTTATCAACTAACAAATCCCACATAATGTTAAGACTCATCTTCTGAAATCAAAAAATGTAATGCATTCGACAACTGATTGTGTGACATAAATATAAACTAGGATCGCAAAGATAAACTATCTACTTATGTATATGTTAATTAAGGCAATAAAAACCTTGAGCCGGTTTAAAAGAAATAATGTGGAATAAAATTAAAATGTAACTGTATTAATTTATATACTAGATAGATTATTAACCTTCAAGACAATAAGGAATTGAATTGAACATATAACTGATGCTTTATTTATTGTCGTTGTCAGTAACTTACATATTTACAATCGCCTTTTCTAATTATTTTCCACTTAATAACCACCACAAAGGATGTTGAGCAGGATTTATTGATATTTATAAATGAGTCCAGCGCTGGTTAACTTAGTTCTCATGGAAAACATTTGGAACGAATTTTCCGCCGTCAGTTTTTTCGTTAAATTATGAAACAATAAATATCTTCAAACCTTCGAAAGAAAAGCGAATGACCTTATAAAAACTTCTTCAAACTAAATTGACCGATTTCCAAATGCGCGTTTACACATTATGAAAAAAATCTTACGATGAAAGCTGTTTATGATGATGTCCATGACTTCAGGAAATTGATTATGGAATTGACAGATTTGTTGTAATATCAATTGAAGCACGTCTTCTCAATTCCGAAACTCTATTGCAGCCACACAAAAGTTCGTGCCGCGAGTGTTGACAATGCTTAGCAAGAAGTCTGTCCCATTTGACAGTTTTTGTGACGAACTATATAAAAATTGAATCGGCGTGATTAAAGAATTTTGCAAGCTATGTGGTAACAATGCCCGACGGAATATTGGATTGTAGTACGATTTCCTTTCAGAGACTGCTGTTATCGCAAGGTTAACGCATTGACCCTGGCTACTGACGTGGATTCAAGTCAATAGCTCAATCTATTTCGGGATCTATTGAGATCTTACTTTTTTCACATAATATTACTTATTTGCAATTGCTTAATTGTCGATGTGTAAGGGCAGCGGTCGCTTTGCTAATTCAGCAAATTCAGGTGGTCACTTGTTCGTTAACCTTCTTATTATATAAAACAATAACTAAAAAAACTGCAGTAGTATAACCATTTAACAAAAAATGTTTATGACTATTTTAATTAGTAAATAGTAATTATTAATCTTTATGACCGGATGCACTTAACACATTGCACGAAGTGAAAGACAAATCTTCAGTTAATAAATGTTCCCAAGATATCACAAATTATATTCATGTGTCATGTAAAGCGTAGGTTTTCGCTTCGTAATATATGTACAAAAATATCCTCATCTTTGATTTTTCAAACTAAATGTACAGGTTTTTAAATAGGTGTTTTCACAATAGAAGCCTACGGTCATACACATGGATTCTTCAAAAATTTCCATTCGACCAGACAAAGGACTAGCAGTTTTGCGTGACAAACGACATTTATCACAGCCATATGTCTTTATGTTTCTGTAAATATTGATAACTCATCGGTTCATTACTAAAGTTTTAGGCGTGTGACAGAATTTAACTGCCAACTTCGTATTTACTTGATCTATAGAGTATCTGCTAAGCACAACAATAACGGCATTTAAACAATTGGAAGCATAAATCTTCTTTTTATTTCAGAAACCTACGACATCCTTCGAAACGCCAGGCTTAAAGTTGTTGATATTTTGTTTCATAAATATTGCAATTTTATAAGACACAAACTGATTGAAACTAGCTTTGTATAAAGACCTAATCTGTTTTTTTTTACATGCCGTGATCACGAGTTTTTACCCAACTAGAAACGTTTCACTTTTGGTTTAATGATATCTAAACAACCTTCGTACTGAATGTAAATTGACAGATATACGAGTATAATTATTAAACAAAAACACAATTTTTAATTAGATTGTGTATAATTTAATAGGCTGTTAAATTCCTTAAC